GTTGTCTATCAGAGATCGGCCATAGGAAAGCCACTTTGCGAACCATCAATCAGCTGTTTAAATCGCTGTCTTGCAAAGCTTAGGTCCCGAGGGAGCTGTCAAAATCGTTGTCTAGCGAAAATCGGTTTGCAAAGCAGGGACCAAACATTGTCCAGCAGAATTCCCCCATAGGAATCACTGTTTTGCGAATCGCTATAGTGATCACAAAAAGTCAATGTCTAGCGAAAAAACTGTCATACGGGGTAACTGTCTAGCGAGGCACCACTGTATATCCAACCTTCCCTAAAAAAAATTAGGATGGCTAATTGAGAAAGAAATAAGAGAGTTAGAGAGGGTTAACAAGACAATCAAGAGATAGTGACTAAATGCTGAAACCTCATTGCTGATAAGTTAAAGAAAAACTTAGCTGCAGAAAGGAAATGACAGTAATGACAGCGGTATGACCAATTTGCAAGGTGAACAAAAATTGTTAATAACTAAAGATCTTCTTAAAACTGGAGGACTTCACGCAGCTTTGGAAAATCGTCAGAAAAACCCCGAGGTCAATCTCTTTGGGCATGGGATACTAAGAATATAGAAGCGGCAGTTCATATTTGCTAAATGATCCCTGATTTGTGGGGAGCAATAGCAATACAAATTTTAGGAGGTAGAATCTGAGGATATCTTTCAGACCTATCAAAAGACACGGTTGTTGGCCAGAACAATTTTCAGGTTTGGACATGTAGCGTGGAACACCCTCAAACCCTTCTTTTGATCACAGTGTGCATGTTAGCCAAAAATATACACTGCATTTTTATAAAGTGCAATAGTTTAGACCTAGTACAATTCTGAGTGTCCCACCACCATCTCTGAGACAGACTCAAACTAGCCATGTCCGTGTTAACATCTCTGTGGCAGCCTAAGACTGCAAGAGGGTGAAAAGAGATATTTGTGGGGTGGAACGTCTTTCTGTCTTGAACTGCTCTGAATTCAAGTCTTTCAGTAGCATTGCAACACTTCAAGCTGGACTTGGCAGCTGAAATTCAGGCCAGGAAATGATAAGGTTTTAAGTATATTACCATTGTATTCCACTCCACTTGGGGATGTTACCCTACTCCAAATCCTACATCAATTATATAAAGACAGACCATTTAGTAAAGGTAAAGTTTACTGATGTTGGGAAAGTGTGATGGCAAGAGGAGAAGGGGACGACCGAGGATGAGATGGCTGGACAGTGTCTGCGAAGCAACCAACATGAACCTGACACAACTCCGGGAGGCAGTAGAAGACAGGAGGGCCTGGCGTGCTCTGGTCCATGGGGTCACGAAGAGTCGGACACGACTAAACGACTAAACACACAATAAAAAGGAGTCACAGGGACACAATTTATGTACAGAAGTGGGTCTCTCCAAGCAAAATATCAGGGATTCTTTTATATTTCTAAGTGAAATTTCCAAAGTAAACAACTGAGCGATGAGACACAGAACACTGCAACCTTTCCACTGAGGTGGTACCTATTTACCTACTTGCATTTTTTCATGCTTTTGAACTGCTAGGTTGGCAGGAGTATGGGACAAGCAACGGGAGCTCACTCCGTCGCGTGGATTCAATCTTAAGACTGCTGGTCTTCTGACCTTGCAGCACAGAGGCTTCTGTGGTTTAACCCGCAGCGCCACCACAGACCACTTAAGCTGCCCTAAACCCCTGGACAAAGCAATGGGATATAACTTCAATACCTAATGTTGATGATATGACATTACAGCTCATCTGTCTGTTTGGTTTTATTCTAGACCTGATCTCCAAAATCGAACTTGCAGGAGGTTTGGGGGCCATCTTTCTCTTACTGGTTCTACTTATTACCATCTACAAATGCTACAACATCGAGCTGATGCTATGCTACAGACAAGCCTTCGGGGCTGACGAAACAATGGATGGTAAGTGGGCTTCAACGATGATGGCAAATATTTAGCAAGCACCTATAATCCTGCCTAGTCACGGCTTCCATTTGAAATTCACTAAGGGCATTGTAGAATCTTGACTTCAAAAGTCAACGGTCAAAACCTGCTCCATTTTGAGGCACGGTTCAAAATGCTGCTTTTGGCTGATAAAAGCCTTGAACCGCTTGGGGACGGGATGTCCAAGGGGACCTCTCTATGTGAGCCTCCCTGGGTGTTTCAGGATCTTCAGGCATGCCCTTCAAAATTATTTCTTCTAAAATAAAATTCAAGACAGGGAAGAATCTGGGGGGTCATAAGACTCGCCTCCTTCAGGTGAAGTACATTTCTGGTGAAGTATAGGAGTTACGACTTTCAGTGCCATCATTTTTCTTGCTTTGAAAAGAACAACTGTTTTCAGGCATATTATTATGGAAGAATGATCAGATTCCCTTTAACTGTCGTTGGTATAGAATGTAGCGATCATCAGTCTAGAATGGGGTTTGTGGGGAACCCATTTTCAGTCCAAAGTTTGGCAGGTTTATCTTACTGCCCATCTGCTGAGCTCGATGGTTTGTCTTCTGGAATTGTCTTGTTGATGAACAGCTCTAGATGTTCCCAAAAAAAGAGCATAATCTGAGCAGTTAGAAGCGCATATAGAGGAATTTCAAAGGCATACGAAACATGCAAAGCTGCTTAAGCAGATTTCAATCAGTGGGGAGAGATCTGTTCAAGCAATGTGCCCACGTGAAAATGTTTGCATAAATCTCATTCATTGTATTTTTGAAGGCCAGGACTGAACGCAGGCCAGATGCAACGGTAGAAAGAGAGAATGGCTTTGGAGAAGGACTTTAGAAATATGCATACATATCTCTGATTTGGCATTCCCAGTGTGGTGTAGTGGTGTAGAGTGATGGCCTATAACTCTGGAGAACAGGATTCAAATCCCCACTTGGCCACGGAAACAGCCTGGGGGAGTGGAGTGATAAAACCACTTTTTAAATATCTCAACATGAGATATTTAATGTTGGGCTCTGGTCCTGCCCTATCATATAACTTTGCTCTTCTATTGAACGACTACCCGTCACAGCCCGCTGGAATACCTTGTTTTCTTCAATAAGGAATAGAGAAAAATCAATTCTGCAATGAGAAGCCAAATGTGCCTTCTCTTAAGTCTCCCCTCAAGGCACAGCCAGGCCCAGTTGATGGAAATTAGGGAAATTACCCTAATTTGACAAATGTAAGTGAACAAGTTGGGTTCTGAACGGCTATTTAGCCCCCCATTAGAGATTGATTATTTTATTCTTCTTTCCACTGATTTCTTTGTCTTTCTAACACACAAACATACTCATATACACAGCTATTGTTGCTGATAGAAAAATTGGTGCTTTTTAAGTGTTACACAGGGTTGGGTTTTTTTTTTCCTTCGCTACATTAAACATTTGATTTCTCATCCTCGGTAAATAATGGCAACTTGTAAATTCCACAACAGCCACCAAATCATGGCCTTATCTTTCCCTCCCACCCACCCATCCACCCACCTTTCTAGATCGCCCTGTAAAAGTTTGTACACACCAATGCAGGGAAAATGGGCTATGATAAATGCATCCATTAAAGTATATGTTAAATGTTCAGTTGGAATATATTGGGTAATCATGTGTTAATGTGAATGATAAAATCTCCTCTAACGCCTGTGCTTTGATACGTTTTATTTCTCATTTGCTTTGTTCACAAAGGCCTGCAGTCCTTCACCTGCCTGCAGGTGTTTCGGCTCTGGAAGGTGACTCAGCCTATCCACCCGACCCCAACATTAACTGGGAGGATTGTTGTTGCTATGTGTCAAGTCACTTCAAATTTATGGCAACGCTGTGAATTAGCGACCTCTGAAAAGACCTGTTGTCAACAGCCTTGCTCAGCTCCTGCAGACCGAAGGCTGTGACTTTACTGATTCACTCCTCTTAATTTGGAGGCGATTGCTTTCAGACTCGGTGATCAAAGATTTGAACCCAGATTTCCCAAAGCCTGGCCTGACCCTTTAAATTCTACATCCCCACTGGCTCTAACTGGATAATGTTGGAGAATGTGCCTGCTGTAGAAGCTGATGGATACCTCTCCTTAGTTACCCAGTGTCAACTTACTTATAAGGCTTAATCTGATGAAAGGAGTCATTTCATGAAAATATTGTTGGGTGTGGGGTTTTTGTTTATTTTCCCCTCTGGAGATCCTTGATCCAAAGAGCTTCCCTTTAGTTCCATTGGGATATAAGCTCTTTCTTGTCTCATCTCAGCTTGTGAAGGTGAGGAAAGGCAACCTTCCTCTGCTTCTTGGTGGGAATGGAGAGGGATGGGTCAACACTCTCAGCGACCTTCTTGCGTCAGAAAGAACATTCTTTTCTGTAGAACTTGTGTCTGTCGGCTGCACAGAACATGGCAATTTTCGCAGAACATAGGCCAGCTTTTGTATAAAAATGCACAACATGTGTGTGAGTGTGTGCACTTTGTATCTCAAGGGAAAAGGGCATCAGAAACGTTCTCCAGAAATGACAGGGACTTAACGGGTGGGGGAAAGGGCTTTCTCTGCCCGCCTTGGCTGGAGGTAAGGAACCTGACTGGCTTTTAAAATCCCTTGTCATGGTGTCATTGGGACCGCCTAAGTGAGGATGAAGAAGGGATTTCATAAATATTGCTTCCACCCAATAGGGTTATGCCCTGCCGTATGAGATGCAAGCTCTTCCCAGTATAGAATGGGAAATACACTCGTATGTGGACATCTGTCCTTATGCCTGAGATGGGAATCGTGTTGTCCTCCGGATGTTTTGGAAAACAACACACATGATCCCTTATCCATGGCCGTGCTGTCTGTGGCGCAAGAGAGTGCAGGTTCTTAACGCCCATAGAAGGACGGTTTTCTCCTCTGTCTGAACGGTGGCAAATTCTGATCAGAAACCAACCGAAATGAAAGTCTCACCTCTCCTTTGAAGGGGTGAGTAAATCTGTCTGTTCTGCTTTCTCCCACATTCTCTGTCCATGTGGGAGAGAATTGTGATGAATTCTGATTTTAAAAATGAACTAGACACATTTTTCACCCATGGCTATCTCCTTCTTGAACACAGCACACAAACTGAAGCCACTAGAAAGACAGGGCTCTGGATCATAGCATATATCACTTATGTCTGCTACAGATCGTGAAAACGTTTGCTGACACAGGCTTCGACAGTGTTTGGAAAATCTCAGTGAAAACCTGTCTTCTTCAACACGGATTTCCTGGGTTTTTCTTGGGGGGGAGAGACATTTAATTAGAGGATCATTTTCCTGCCCCACTTTGTCCGTGGAAAGGCATGTCTGTGTGCTTTTAGCCCACTCTCTTTTCTTTCTTTGTCTTTTCAATGTGCTTCTGGTTTCATTTCCAGACAATAAGGAGTATGACGCCTATCTCTCTTACACCAAAGTGGATCCGGACACGCTGGACTGCGACAACAGTGAAGAGGAACAATTTGCCCTCAAAATCTTGCCAGACGTTCTTGAGAAGCATTACGGATACAAGCTCTTCATTCCAGAGAGAGACCTGATTCCGACTGGAAGTAAGTACCCATCAGGCTGGGGTGTGATGCCACTGAGAAAGTGTGTCCTCCTTCTTAAATGTCCTTTTGTGTGGCAACTCTCAGAATAACAGGCTAAATAACAACCTCAACGGCAGTGAAGCACCATTGTGGCAAACTCTGCCTAAGGGAAATTGAGCAAAGCTGTAACCAAAACAAGGGGTCCTTGTTTTGCTTATCCTTGTTTATCCTTGGGTTGGGCACAGTCCCCCTTTTTAAAGATTGAGATGCTGTACAGTGGTTCCCAACCTTGGGCCTCCAGATGTTCTTGGACTACAACTCCCAGAAGCCTTCACCACCAGCTCTGCTGGCCAGAATTTCTGGGAGTTGAAGTCCAAGAACATCTGGAGCCCCAAGGTTGGGGACCACTGCTGTAGAAAACATCCTGAGGGCAATTGTCATGGGAATGGGAAGGGCTGACTGCATAAAGGGAGCTTGGAAGACATCTCCCGGATTACCCCAAGCAACATGACCCCCTAGTGGCCCTGTTGGCTGGAGGGGATTCTGGTAGCTGTAGTTTGGAACAGCAAGTTTGTCTCTTCTAGAAAAGAGGAGTGCCCCCTCCTGTTTGGGTGGGTGGTTTTCTTCTACGTTTGACATATTTCTAGCTTCTTTATTATACCTTCCATAATTAAGAGAAGAGAGACAAAGCAGCCGTTTAGGTCCCATGCATGGGGATGAGGGCAGAAATTTTGCTGTGGGTTTTCATCCTTGCCCCCTTCTCCTGCGGAAACCAACAATTCTTCCTTCCTGTAGTTTGCATCATTGCTGGGGCACCTTGTTTTTCTATTGGCACTGGCTATAATGAATACCCGGAAAGACTGTTCTGCTCTGAACCAGAATTTTGAGCCAGGATTTGATGTGTGCTTGCTGAACTGCAAAACCTAGGTTATAAGGTTAGGGTTGCCCCTTATTAATATGTAGGTCACATTTCGCTACACCGTGATTGTACAAAGTGTCTGCTCATCTGATGGCCATGGTTAGGCAATTGAAAATATTATGGCTGCACAAGGGCCGTAATAGAAATGTTAAAATGCAAGCAAATATTGTAAAGATGTCACTACATCACTCATATACATTCGTTGGTATTCTGCGGTACATTTTGCGAGGGATTTTTACCACTTCATGATTTGCTGCTAAACCTTCCCTAGATTATATCAAGTAGGTTAGCTTCATGATGTCAGTCCCTGACTTCGTTAATAAGACACGTGTTCTTTTGTCTCTAGAACTTTATACCTAATGGTTTTGCAATGAGCAACATACAGGAAACACGTAGCTTCTCTTTCTTTTCTACAGACTTAAAATAAGTCAGTATCATAATGGTAGGAAATGAAGGAGGAGAACATGTCCTAACATGTTACTGATCGGGGATGGATGGATCCGGCTATTTCTAGTCTGTCTCAGTTTTTATATATTCATTTCATAAACCAATTCTGTCCTGGTTCTACATTAAATGTTGGCAGACACATAGGAAGGTTTTTGGCACCAGGAAGGCTGGAAACTGCTCCACTCCCACGGATGCCACTGTAGGTGCAATGAAATCTGATTTAATTTGGAATAAACCCAACAGTTTCCCCAAATTTGGGTGTCCCAGGCCCGGTTCTGTCAAATTAGAGGAGATGACTTCCATTTCCATTTCTTACTTGATGAGATGAACTTTTATTTTCATCACCACCACCATCACCAATTATGTCTTCTTATTCTTATAGTTCTTATTTACATTTGCATTTATATCCCATGTTTCCTCCAGGGAGCTCAGTGTGGTATACACAGTTCTTCTCCTCACTTAAACCTCACAACAGCCCTGTAAGGTTATCTAGGCATAGAGAATGAGACTGGCCCAGTGTCACCCCATTAGTTCCACAGGCCAATGGGGATTCGAATAGAGGTGCCCCATGTCTTTGTTGAATGCTCTAATCAATGCATTATCTAACACAACATGATGATGATGATGATGATGATGACGATGATGATGATGATGATGATGATGATGATGATAATACAAGATATGGTCTTTGATTGGTATTGTATACCAGACAGAGGTTTTAACCCAAAGCCAAACTATCAGGATGGATGGATGGATGGATGGATGGATGGATGGATGGATGGATAGTTTGGGTTTTGTGTGTGTGTGTGTGTGTGTGTGTGTGTGTTTGTGTGTTTCATCTACAAGAGAGATGTTTCAATTGCCAGGTCTCTATATTTTGTTAGTTTTCCAATTCTTTATTTTCAACTCTGACATCCCTTGGAATTTTCATGTTATTTCTCCAGACATTTCTTCATTCTATTACTGTTGTTACTGTTGTTGTTGTTGTTGTTGTTGTTTTGAGACAAGTGGCCCACTTCTTTTGCAAAACATGGTCTGACAGTGCTATCTTAACACCTTTTACTTAAACGTGAATCCTTTTGAACCCAGCGGTGCTCCCTCCTAGCATGTTTAGGGTTGAAGCGCAAGCCTTTAACAAAAGCCGGAATCCTGGAGTTTGGCAGTGAGATTGTGAGGCCATGACTGGTCTTTTAATCTTTTTATAATTTTGTGAAGTGCCTCTCTCTGCACAGACACTTAAGAAATCAAAGCTGAAACAAATGTAAGGTATCGCTGTATATCACATGAAGCCATTACGAGAAGGCATTTTGTATTCCACGCAGAGCCGCTGTTTCTCACAGGCTTAACGCACAGGTTTTGAAAGGAGTGAAAGAAGGCGAAATCAAAGTGTTTGAAGTCGCAAAATATATTGCTGAAGAGAACAAATGCTTTTAATGAATCCATAGATGGGGTGGGAGTTTTCTTTTCTGTCCACCTATCTTTCATATGTTTCAGCAACAACTCATCGTCATAATTTTGGAGAGTCATTAACCATAATCAGAAATGCATACACTACCTGAGGGTGTCCAGTGGCTTACTGCTGAGTTTTATTACTCTGCACCACCCCTCGCAACCAAAATGATTCACTATTTTATGAAAGGATGTGATCTATTCCCATGGAACAGAAGGAATGCTTAATCACCACCTAATCATGATGATTTAGAATACGAATGAGGAAACAGGACGGCTTTCTTCCCCCAAAAGCCTTTGGATATGTAGCAAATACATATTCCAGGGGAATATAAAGTTTAAAAGTCTATAATGCCCGGACAGATAGAGGACTTGAACTGCTGGTTAATTCAGTGGTATCTGATTGTGCAGCCAGAGGTTGGGAGTTTATTCCCCACTGTGATTCCTTGACACGCTGGATTCAAAGATCCATAGGGTCCTTTCCAGCTCTGCAGTTCAAAGGTGATTATATTTATACCTTATGACTGGCTAGGAGCCATGCAGGGTTTGGGCTACCATCAAGCCAGGTAACACAACCACAGATTTTGAGTGTCATGAATTCTGGGACCTATCAGATAGAAGGTTGGGGCTGTCATAGATGGACATGGGAAATGTTGTTTAATGGGCTTTTTAACATTCTTTCGGTTCTATTTTCAAGGATCTCCTGGCTCCTGTGCCAAACTAACATGGTGGGATTTGGATATATTATCCCTTGATATGGGGCCATGGTATGACATGTGTTTTGGGGCAGGAAAAGGTCTTGGGTTGGTGTTAAACTTGTGACAACTAAGTAGACCCTCATGGTTCAGAAGCAACACCAGATGCTGGGGGCAAACCATGGAGAAGGGATCCCATCTTCACATTTTCCTTGTTGGCTTCTGAAGCGGTTAGGGCAATTGCTGGAGGTTCGAAGCAGGGGAAGGCAACCTGTGGCCTCTCCAGATGCTGTTAGGCAGCATCTTCTACCTACCTGAGCCAGTGAAGGACTCTGAGAGTTGCAGACCGACAACATCTGAAGGACCACCCGTTGTCCATGGCCTGTTTTGAACATGATGGATACGATCTCAGCTAATAAGTGATGAGAAACTCTCCTATCTGGGTTTGTGGAGATCTGCCGTCAGTGAGAATCACTGATCCTTGGATGGATGCACCTGCTATAGTTTGACTCAGTATGAGTCAGTGTCACATGCTCCTATAGCTGGATGAAGAGGTTGTGTCTTTTGAGGAGGGTGGCAAGGGATATTCCCATCCAGGATCACTCTCTGTCATACGTGCAACTAGGCTGGGGTGGAATTCTGCACCACCCCTCTGGCAAACAGATTGTGCAATGATTTTTAAACACAAAGAGGGCTGTTTTTTCTGGGTTATTACAACAAGCGCTTGTTTCCTTTTTTTGTAAAGATAAGATTTGCCTATAAAAATTGTGAGACAGGAAACGCCCAACGCGTTGGCCCTTTATCCAGACTAGCTACTCAGGAGACAGCTGTGTTCAAGGAAGGCACTGAATCCCCCACCAATGACTCGATTCTTTCCTGAAGTGGAATGGTTAGGCTCATGAGATTGTATCCTTTAGGTATGGCCTCACAAGCTAGAAAAGCTTGTTCTGGTTTCCTCCCCCCCTGCTATTTCTGTCTTTGGCCAGGGTGACAAGAAGCAGGGGTGTCTGCGCCACCTGCTATCTTCAGGGGTTGACACCTTGCAGGGAGACCAGCAGTGTAAGTGAGCTGTCAGTTCTGACTGTGAGGTCAAAGGACTGTGCAGCTGTAGAGCAATACATACTGGGCAACAGCCTTTAATGCTTAGGTTACTGCAGTATCCGGTCAAGTATTTCTACTTCCATAATTCGGTACACTTTACATGCAGGGCAGACCAACTCTTGCTTAGAAGGATACATGACACATAGGTCCTTTAGGGAAATATTGCCCTATGGAATTCTTTTGTTCAGGTGTCCACACCTTTTTGAAGAATTACGCCATCCCATTCCTCCACCGCCACTAAGGAACAACACTTAACACTCCGCATTTACTGAGCATGCTCAGTGGTCCTCTAGGGCAATGGTCCCCAACCTTGGGCCTCCAGATGTTCTTGGACTTCATCTCCCAGAAATCCTGGCCAGCAGAGGTGGTGGCAAAGGTTTCTGGGAGTTGTAATCCAAGAACATCTGGAGGCCCAAGGTTGGGGACCATTGCTCTAGGGTTATATTTTCCCTGAAGATGCTCAAGAGCTTCAGGTACGTAAGCAAGTCCCATCTAAGACATGTTGTGGCCCTAAGCTACATCTGGTTTCAAAAGCTACGCAGCATTACTTTTCAAAATGTGCATTATCCTAACAAGTGAAGGGTTTTGCTTTCATAATCTGAGGCCCTGAACTGGAATGCAGACCGCTGTCTCATGACAATTGCAATCCTATGCACACTTATTTGGGAGCACACTCCCTTGGATTTAACAGGCTGCTTCTGACTAGACTCTCCTAAGAAGAGCTTAGCTTCATTGACATGGGAGAAGTTGTATCTCTGCTACAAATGAGCCTGGACTGAACTCTACCAAAAGCTAAGCCATGAATGCAAACTGTATGAAATCCGTGTCATAATAATCATAATTGCATGCTGTCAAATTGATACTGATTTATGGTGACCTTTTCCAGCGTTTCCTAGACACAGCACACAGGAGCAGTTTACCATTCCCTTCTTCTTCAGGGGGAACTCTCGAACTCTGTAGCTTGCCCAAGACCAGTGAAACTCTTGACCCCTGGCTCTGCTCCACCTCACTGAGCTATCCAGCCATACGTGTTATCAGTGTTGCTTTTTCTACCTCACTGTCCTGTCCATCTGTTCATACTGAACCCAGCTTCCAACACTGCCACTGGTGGTTACACACACTGGGAAGTAGTACGGAGGCAGCCCCCCCCACACACATCTGTCCTTCGTGTGTTCTGTTACGAGGAACTAAGTGGGAGCAGGAAGTTTTCAGTATCACATTGGTCCACTGGGGAAGAAATGTAAGGCAGAGACTCACCAGTCTGTCAGCACACTTTTGTTGCGCGTCTTGTCACATGTTGGGGGCACAGCCCACTTCAACCAAAGTCTCTAGAAGGCAAAGAACAAAGGGAGAGCCCAATGCCTTATGAATTAGGATGTCATTGCGCTACAAACAGGCAAATCATGGGACAAATATTGTGAGAAATATCAACGTTACCTGTAGCGTATTACTTTTTAGGGACACAGAATGAAAGCCAAAACCTGTTACAGATTTAAATGCCACTTACGCATTATTCCTTAGTTTTTCAGAGCTCAGTTGGGAGGATTGGAGGCTGTTTTCATTTTTTTTCAGTTTTAGGTATTTTTTTAAAAAAATATTTATTTATTTAATCGTTAGTCCTTAGTTTTTCAGAGTTCAGTTGGGAGGATTGGGGGCCGTTTTCAATTTTTTTTCCAGTTTTTTTTTAAAGTATTTATTTATTTATTTATTTAATAATGCCTCAGCCATCTGTTACTTTTTAAGAAATACAAAAGAATGATTTGGGGGAAAGTCATGAGAATTATTTTAAAAAACATAATGTTCCAACTTCTGCTTTATGAATGGTCTACTTGAGTCATTTGCAAAAATGGAGAAACACAAAAGAATGATTTGGGGGAAAGTTACGAGAATTATTTTTAAAAAACATAATGTTCCAAGTTCTGCTTTATGGATGGTCTACTTGAGTCATTTGCAAAAATGGTAATGTGCAGGTGTCTATGGGGCCATGATCTGCCTTTTTTTTCCTCCTTTTTTTTATGTGTGTGGGAGGGAAGATCCACACAACCAAATGGTATGTGGGATGAGTTCCACCGGGAACAAACCCCTACAGTGTGCACTCTTTCTTCTGCAGGCTCTTCTTCCAACTGGGGCCCCTATCTTCCAATGGAAGGAGAGTTGAAAGAAGTAAGTAGAGCAGGACTTCTGCTAGTCCTCCTCTCAAGCCAAGGGGGTGTTGGGGGAAATGGGATGGAGGGGGAATGTCTGTGTGGCTCTTCTGCCCATCTCCAGGCAGTCCCGAGAGCAAGCAACCAGTGCATTGAAGCTGTCTGGATGAAGAGTGGTTGTACATTCGAGAAGCAGTTTTTGCCAAATGCTTTCTCAGAGACATCACGAAACGAAAAGACAAGTGTTTTTGCAGGCTACACTTCATATCATGTTTACAATCCAGCAGAGGGCACCAGCAAGGCAAGGCCCAACTGAGCTGGTCACACCAGGATTTTCCACCCTCCGCAGCACACCGCAGCTCTGAGTTCGACACAGGTTGACTAACATGATTCCATCCTAAGGAACATGGAGTTTGTAGTTTGCTTGAAGGACTTACAACTCTCTGTTTGCAAGTGCTAGTGCTGTAGTTCCGGGGAAGGTTCTACCGTTCTTTAGCAGAGGGTTTTAAATCCTTCACCAAACCATAAATTCCAAGATTTCAGAGGAAAGAGTCATGCAAATCACAGTAGTATCCCATTGATATACTTGTGTGGTGGAGAGACACCTTTAGTTTTTCCTTTCCCTCCCTCCCCTTGCATTTACGAAATCATAGCTGGATCCCAATTTTGATAGCCTAATTTTGGATTATTTCACAATATGCAAAAATTACTTAGGGCACAGATATGCTGCACGCTTAAGTGGCTTTTAAAACCCTTACACTTATCTGGGAACTATAGTTTTTAAGAGCACAGCATAGTGGTTCCCAACCCTGTGCCCCCAGATATTCTTGGACTTCAGCTTCCAGAGATCCTGGCCCGCCCAGCTAGTGGCAAAGGCTTCGGAGAGTTTTAGTCCAAGAACATCTGGGGATCGAAAGTTGGGAGCCACTGCTTTAACTTCACATGGCAGTTAAACCGTATAAAACCACTATGCATTTGTTGTGTTGATGTGAGCTAAGTAAATTAGCTTGAATCCTAAAAAAGCTATGTTACAAGAAGAAGGGTAATGTTAGTCTATAGTAACAGGGAAGGAGATGTTTCACATTTTTGTACAAGTATTCCAGCCTCTGTTCTTTAATATTCAATCTATTTCATTTTTTAAAAAATAGATTGGAAATGTGTCACTGTTTCACGTGTGAACAGCGCCTTCCTCCTTCTGCCCTGCCCTGGGCAAGAGGGGAAGAGCAGTTCCCAAAGTATCTGTAAAGGATACTGCCTGCATCCAAATTGTCTTCCCTTAGCCCCCATCTCCACCGTTGTATGTGCACTCCTAGAAACATGGTCAACTTATGTTTCCATTCTAAATGCAAGACAGATTGTCTGAGCCGGTGTTCTAAGGCCCTTGACTCACTAGCAAAGCCTTCCTTTATGACCAGAGATTAGGAAATGTTATGGTTTTTTTTTTTAATGACCAAATCCCAGAATTCCACACTCAATCACCATGGCCAATAGGGTGATTGAGTGTGGGAGATTCCGGGAAAGGTACTATCCAACAAACAAACAAACGTTTCTTTGATACTGCCTTATAAAGGCATTGATGTATACGTACGCCTCCAGGCTTTTTATTTGTTTGTTTGTTTTAATGGTCCATCGGCCTTGGAATAAATCTGTTAACCGTCTTCAATCCTGAACAGCTAAATTCAAGACACAGCCAATTCAGATATTTTTCAGTTGTAGTCTTGGCGGCAAGTAGGTGCCAAACAGAACCCAGGAAACAGCAGCTAAAGGTACGGATCTGGGAGCTGTACATCCCATGCCTATATTCAGTCATCCCTGGGAGCCTATTTTTTTGAGGACAAGAAAAGACAAAGTGTGTGTCGCAATGTCTCCTACACACACATGTCTTAAAACCTTGGTAAAACACAGCAATACAAAGTGGAGCAATATATGGATCTGTATATTCCTGGTTCCAGGTAGCCTACAACCTTTATACCCATATCAGCTTGTGGATCAAGGGAAGAAGGCATCTCCCTACAACATGTTGGGGCATACCACCACCAGCAGCAGCAGCTTGGTTCCCAAGCCACTACTATGCATATGACTTTGTTATCTGGAATATACAGTTATGATAGCTTCATGCAACTCAGGACTCATCCGTTTTTTATGGATGGTGTCAGACTAAGGTGTGTGTGTTTTTTTGGGGGGGGATGCACAGTTAACACATCCCATGCAAATGAGAGATGCATATTCCCAAACATCACTGGACAGAGGATAGGAATTGGTCTGGTGCCTTATGCCAGGTGAAATAATTCAACCACCTAGCCTCGTGCCATCTGCTCTGACTGGCTGTAGCTTTCCAGGGTATCGGGGAGCCAAGGCTTCCACCAGTTGCCATCCGATATCTTTTTTCAGTAGGAGATGCTGGAGGCAGAACCTGGGATGCCAAAATCCTTGGCAATGTCCTTTGACATTGGAGGTGTTTACTGGAACTATTGCCTGCTGCTACTGGAATCAAGTGAGAAATGAAAAATCCCATGTGCTCTCCATAAGAGACACCAGAACAGGGAATGCTATTGCCCAAGAGATGCAAAGTCATCTGTTGACTGTGATCCGTGGATGACGTATGGGAGAAGAGCTGTAGCATAACTAAACTTACACATTGGTTAGAATCCAGCAATCAGTCACAACTAGAGTAGGTTCATTGGATCAATGTAATTTACAGAGGAGTTGGCTCACAGTGGGCCAACTCTAGTTGCAATGTACTACTGGATCTCAGCCATTGTGGAGATGGCCGAAGAGGAAGTGGGAATTATTTTTCCTAATATAATTGGAAGTCCAGCTTTTTGAATGTGCTATGTATCTATTTCTCTGTTTTATTGTCTTTTCTTACAATTTACAGCATACCTTGAAGATCTCACAAGATGCGTAGAACAAAGCCGAAGACTCATTATCGTCCTAACACCAGACTATGTACTCAGGAGAGGGTGGAGTATTTTTGAGATGGAAAACAGACTCCATAACATACTCGTCAGTGGAGAAATCAAAGTGATTTTCATTGAGTGCCCAGAATTAAGAGGCAAGATTAATTACCAAGAGGTAGACTCTTTAAAGCACACCGTTAAACTCTTCTCAGTCGTCAAATGGAATGGGCCAAGAAGCAGCAAACTGAATTCTAAGTTTTGGAAGCGGTTGCTCTATGAAATGCCTGCCAAGAAGAAAGAGGTGTTATCTCGGCGTCAAGTCTTAGATTCTGCCGAACAGGGTCTTTTTGGGGATCTTCAAACGGTGCCTTCCATTGCTGTGACAGATACCTCAGCCACTTTGATTGCATCTCAGGCAGATCTGGGTGATTATCAACAACCAGATTCGGTGCAAACGAGACATTACTGCAGAGGCTATGAGTACGATCTCCAGTCGGCAACCTTGCCGTTAGCTGCCATAAGCAGTAATCACCACACTTACTGTAACATACCCCTGACACTGCTTAATGGGCAGCTACCTCTTAACAGCAGCATGAAGGATGCTCAAGAATTTCACAGAAACCCCTTGCTACCATTGTCAACAAGGGAGCTTAGTTTCACTAGTGACATATGGTAGCGAAGTACTCAAGCATTACAACGCTGGCTTGTTGAACGTCAATGAGACAGACCCTTAAAAGATGTTGAACCCATGACATCAGGTGCCAAAAACGTTTTGCCAAGTCACAAGCCACTCACTTTTATACTTGAACCTCTTTGTTTACATTTCAGGAATTATTAGCAAGGGAGAACCTACTTTTGTAGCTCACGAATAAGTTCGTACCTTTTAATGTACAGTTTTATTGCTTCTTTATAAAAAAGAGAGAGAAAGGGTACTGAAGAGTATTTTGAAGTAGGCTTTGCAATCTGATAATGGATTGATATTCAATGGTACATATGATAGATTAAGACTCCATATTTATATATATACATATATATATATTAGTACTTTAAATGGATTTCTTTTTTCTCAAAAACGAACGTTAGATAGCAACAACACAAGTCACACACCTGACCCACAACAAGCTGCAAAAAGGGATACTTTCATTTCAAATCATGCCTGAAGGACCCATTCTTCTAAAGGACATATATCTCTATACTCTTAGGATATGTTTCCCATAAGAGTCTCGCCTGTACAATATGGATAATGGGCCAGGTGAACCTTCCGAAGGGTGAGAGACTAGTTTTTACTCAACAATTTCTGCCATTGGGCAATCCATTACCCACTTAATGTGATTCATCCTTTTGTTCTCAATATATTTCTTAATTCTACCTGACATTGTGTTTTTCTTAAAACAAAGTTCTTAGCAAGTTTGACAGCAGTTTAGTTTCTGTAGATTTCCAAGCTTGGTTAAAACTGGCTTTGTGGGTTTCTAAAGACTTGTTTTATTTTTTTTTTTTTTCATTTTATGTACTGACCGGATTGTCTCGTTATTTAACTGATCATTGATTTGAGCATTTCTTAAACTTCCTGACCTTGTAAGATTTCTATTAATGGTAATGTAAACTTTGCACAGAGTTATGATTATGATTATATATTTTCATTTTCCAGATTTTAATCATGTTACAACTTACAGATTGATATTTGACAGACAATGTTGGCAATAGAAAAAAAAAGAAATACAGCAATACTCACAAACAAAAAATGCTGAATTTCTTGGATTATCGGTAATATTAATTTAATGGCTTTGATAATCATCTAAAAGAGCAGGAAGCATTTACACCCTCTAGGTATACTTCAGTTAAAGGTAATTGTAGTCCCATTGCCTTGCTTTCAGTAGGATACTGGGGATAGTTCTTATGTAACATAAACATGGTTGTTGCTCTATCCTAACATGATCGGCTGATCTTCAATTATGGTCAGAGTTTATTACACAAAAGGGACCAACAATGTAGCCACATCCTATACCAGCACTGCCTTATTCTTAGGACGGACTGGTGCTAGGAATCACTGCACAAATGGCTTCTTCACTACGATTGCTGAAAAAATTCTGTTCAACTCAAGGTAAAGGTAAAGGTTTCCCTTGACAATTTTTTTGTCCAGTCGTGTTCGACTCTAGGGGGCGGTGCTCAGCCCCGTTTCCAAGCCATAGAGCCAGCGTTTTGTCTGAAGACAATCTCCGGTGGTCACATGGCCAGTGCGACTTAGACACGGAATGCTGTTACCTTCCCACCGAGGTGGTCCTTATTTATCTACTTGCATTTGCATGCTTTCGAACCGCTAGGTGGGCGGGAGCTGGGACAAGTGATGGGTGCTCACTCCGTCGCGTGGATTCGATCTTGCAACTGCTTGGTCTTCTGACCCTGCAGCACAGGCTTCTGCGGTTTAGCCTGCAGCGCCACCACGTCCCTTCTGTTCAACTCAAGGTAAAACATTTTTCATAAAATAATTAATGAATTTTCTTTTCTTTTCTTTTTTCTCTCCTCTACCTGGGGAATGAGAAGGCCACTGCACAGAGTTTTCCCTTGGTTGTCTTTCACCTTTTGTACGTGCGCCGGCCACCATTCCTGGTGGTTATGGCGCAATGCAAGATCTGAGGCTTTGCAAAGGATGAAAAATGGCAGCTAGACTAACCAACCTTGGAGGCGAGGGGAAGAGGAACACGGTGCTACTGTTCCCGCTAATGGTGAACCCCACCCCTAATAAAAGGTTAGGAGAATCTCTTTCCTCCTGCCCAGAGAGATCACCAAACACAACATTTTTGTTTCCACAATTATGATGGAGAATCCCAAGAAGCCATTTGCCACAGGTCTGTTTCTTCCTGGCCAGTGAGTATACAGTGTTCCTGAAATTCCACTGATTTCACTCTGCATCGAGTGGATCGATGGGATGAAAGAATTCTCCATCTTCCTTTCTAGTTTCTCATGTATTCCTCCAGGTACGCTCGAATTGCATCTTGTATATTGCATCAGCAATGGCATAGCCACTTCCGGTGGGGAAGGATCATGGGTGCTGAAGTCCAATGACATTTAGAGGGTCATACATTTCTCATCCCTGATTTAGTGGCTCTTTAGATATTCCATTTCTGAGGTGGAGGGCTAATGGATACATTCTGATTTCCTTTTCAGCACAGGCATGTACATAAACACTGTGGTGCAGTGAGCAACCTACAGACATTTACATGAGTTGAATTGTGGATGACATTTGCTTTTAAAGTATATCTAATATCACCCCCTTGACTTTTCAGTCAATGGAAGACACACCTTTGCAAAATAAAGTAATACAACATATTGATTAATACAAGATATGTTGTATTACTTTGCTTTACAGGTTGAATTTCAACAGTATATATCAAATACATTTATCAAAAAGAGGTGGTAATTTAAAAATCAGATCAGAATTGGGATGTTTATTTCCCTGTTGAATGTGGAGGTTTTATTGTTGTTGCCTTGCCTATAGTGAATCTTGGCTTGCCTAGATAGCCAGCAAAAAAATTGTTCTGGTTATGACTCCACCCCCTTCCTTCTGGAAGGGGTTCAGGAGATGGGGAGGTCTCTTGACATTACATTGAGCTCAACACCCAGCGCAAATGTATGTACGAGCAGGCCAGGCCAGCTGAGCACAAGGGTCAATTCATCCCTACTGTCCCAAGTCTCAGACTCACCCCCCCCAAAAAAAAAGCAGCAGGTCATTTCAGGGCTCACCAAATGTTCTGCTGGATCCTTGCAGCTCTAGAAAGATCCCCTTCGCATCTTTCCACACAGAAGGACGGCACCATTTTGCTACAGTTTTGTGCTCTGGCCCGAGGAAAAGATGTACCAACCCATAGTCAACGGGCAAGTATATTTTGCACAAATCCTACAGCTGGCCCCCACCTTCTCAATCCACCAAAGTGGCATGGAGTTAAAACCACAGACGAGTAACAACTATGTTGTTCTAAACATAAGAACTGGTCCTTGTCCAGGAGAAACATTTGCCACATTCATCATGCCCAGTATATTTATTCATCCTGATTTCTCTGCCCTTTTGGAAATGGCAAACGGGGTCTGTTTCTAGACTTGCTAGTGTTGTTTGTGGGCAGGACTCCACCTGCCTTATCCACTCATAGCCTCTTTAGAGCACAACCTGTTCATACCAAGAAGAACTAAAAGTTGTCTAGTCAACATATTACCTTCTGAAGGTTGGCACCTCTCAGTCTGTGGCTGTTCTGTTTTTGTCTGCTGTTCCACAAAGGAAGACAGAGATGCTCTCGTGAAACTGCCATGTTACTGTTCTGTCTAGAATCCTCCATGGAGGTTGCGTTGTTTCTGAGAATGTTTCTCTGTCGTTTTCACTGCTCCAATGCACTTTTTTCCTCAAACACAGGATCTACCTGTTTGGATAGAAATTACAAGGGAATGAATCAGGATACGATACACTAGCATCTTGAATTAAGGGGCGTGCATTTACATGCATACATCTAAGAAGCCATTTCAATGGGCTTTGGAGAGAACGTAAACCAGAAGAAGCAGCTTGAATATTAGTGTTCACGCTAACATGTTAACATTACATTGCTGAAACTATTCCATTCATTAATGTTGACTCACTAGGATTGTTTCACAAAATTAATTCTCTGAGTAGTTTGTTCAATTAGAAAAAAATTAACTAACTAAAAATGTTGAGTAATTAATTAAAACAATGGTAGGCATTGATCACTACCTTCTTTTTTTTAATGTAGCTTTGCAGTTTAACAGTTAGAATAATATTTTTTGAAATTGTTCATGACAATGGTAATAAATTGCAGCAAATGAGTTTAACATATTATTTCCAAGCTCTACTCAGAAGAACATGCATGTGTCAACATGTCAACACATATTTTTGAAACAGACATAAATGTGAACAGTGAGAGGATAAGATGCTGGCATAAGCAGATTTTCTTGTCTGATTATACTCCACACATTGAAAAGGAGAAGTGAAAAATATTCACTAAATTTTTTATTCTTATTTGTTTACCCTGTCTTGACAAAATTAGAAAACTAGGGATTTTAAACAGTTATCTAAAATGTCTTTAATATTCTTTCCCTTTGGAAATCAAAGCAGATGCACACAAACAAAGCAAGCACAGAAGGACTGGGTGATTGCTACAAAAGAAGAAAGCAACCCATTTGGTGCTTTTAATTCTTAAGTAAAGTAGCAGAAAGCCTTGTTTAGAGCGATTCATGCAATTTCCTAAATTTTGCAATTTTGCATGACTATGACCAATTTTGTGCAAAACCAATGCTTTTCCATGAAGTGTCTCTTTCACCAATCCACAAACTTTATTGATAATCACTCACTGGAATGGACAAGAGTCATTGTCTGGGAGGATGAGGAAAGCAAATATTTAATCATCACTATCGTCGTTGTCGTCTTAGAACTGCAGAGCTGGACATGGACAAGAGTCATTGCCTGGGAGGATGAGGAAAGCAAACATTTAATCATCACTATCATCACTTTCCAGAACTGCAGAGCTGGAAGGGACCCTATGGGTCATCGAGGCCAGACCCTGTTGGGAAGTAAAGTGGGAATTTCATCCTTTATGCCAAGGCTGAAGTGTGCTGCTAATAAACAGGAATTATGTGATCCAGCCAAACCAGAGGGGAGTGGAAAAGAATACTCTAATGCAGTGGTCCCCAACCTTGGGCCTCCAGATGTTCTTGGACTGCAACTCCCAGAAGTCCTCAAATCCTGGCCAGTAGAGGTGGTGGTGAAGGCTTCTGGGAGTTGTAGTCCAAGAACATCTGGAGGCCCAAGGTTGAGGACCACTGCTCTAGTGGCAGAAGAACTCCCAGAGAAGCAACAGCACAATGGAAACAAGACCTAAAACAGCATATAATAGTCTCTGGCTAGGACCCTAAGGAAGCTTCAAAATGAAACTTGCTGGATAGTTTGAGAGCCTCAAGAAGTTTTTGTTTTAGTCTAGAATTTCCAGAATCCCATGGAAGCCATAACCATGCTGTTTAAAGGATCCTGGGAGTTGTAGTCCAACAGAGAGAGAGAGAGAGATTTGTACAATTGGCCCTTCTCATAAATGGAATTCTACAGAAGGTCTAGACAATGACAACATTGACATGTAATCCTACTATATTTTCCTATTGCTGCTTCTGACATCTATTTAGGAAGCAATGCCTTGGAAGAGTGCCACTGTGAATACCTGCACAATGTTTTATGATTAGCAGCACTAGGTATTTTTTGTGTGTGTCCAGGAGCACACACACTCATTCCAACTGCACACATGGCAGCTTCCCATGTCACAGAACACAATCAATATTCTTTGACCAATCAGTGATGTGAACAAACCCCTGTGAAATAGCAAATGCCAATCCACTGACCCACCATTCTCTCCAATAACATGGAATAGCATGGAAGTACAATCCTCGCTGTCCTGCAGCCGACGTGGTTATTGACGACAGAGGTGTATTGGTCAATTGGGACTCACAGGTGCTCATCACGATGGTTTCAAAAGCTAGCATCACCAATCAAGGAGAGTCCAAAACATCAGGCAGCTGGATCAACAAATGAGGTGCAACTCTTTTGTAAGGGTAATGGCCCTTAATTGCCTGTTCAAGACCAAACTGCCCTCTAACAATTTGCATGGAAGCAGAGATGGCTTGCAGCGATTTACTATTCCTAGAAGAATACATTTTCTTCCCAGATAACATGGAGATTGCAATTCAGCTCAGAGAAAAAAGGCAGGCCTGAGGAACGTAGCAGATGGTGGCACATTCTCTGCTATTGAGAAAGTTTCAAAATCTTTGACCATGTGAACCTAAAATTGTGGA